CACCGGCCCGTGCCCCGGGCGGGAGCCGGGCTATGAGCCTCGGGGTCGGGGGCCCGGAGGTGCTGGGCGATGCTGGCCTGAGCGTGTCGGTGCGACGGCCTGGGCTGAGCCGGGTTTGATCTGGATGAAATCGGGGAGCTGGGTTTGCATCTGAGTCGTGGATTTATTCTTTACCTTTGCAGCTTCTCCTTCCGAACCGCATGACAGCAGTCGTCAGCCTTCAGAGAAGAACTCTGTGCTAGGCTGCATGCTGTAGATAAGAGTAGGCTGCCAGTAATCTTCTGGTGGTAATATTAATACTTGAAGCAGGCGATAGTGGATAAAATAAATCTAACAGGTCTGCTGAGACGGCAGACTGGCTCCTCTAGATTTAGCACTTCTAAAATCTGATGTGGCATGTAAAGCTCCGGGCATTTTTGTATGTGAAACTTTCATGTGAAACTAATCCAGCTGCACAGCTGTGATAGAGCTGAGTTTTATCTTCTGGGTGAGAGGAAAACTTAAGTGAAATAGGGCTGCAGTTTTCCCTTCAGCATATGGCAGGTGTTGTAAAGTCAGTAACTGTAGAGTAAGATGGAGACATAGTGATTGCCCTGGTAACATTAGGAATAGTTAAGTGAGTTAAAAAAATAAATAAAATAGGGCATATGAATTAAGTGAATAACTGTACTAAATGCTAAAAGACTGAAAGGTCTGAAAAAAAAATCTTAGGTAGGCAGTGAGGATGAGGAGGGCTATGTTGAGGCATTGCAGTTTGACTTGTTTGTTCCACAAATGCAGACTAATTCAGTGTAATAACTATCGATGCAGGTTTTTAATGCTTAAAACTAAAGAGACTTTCTTTTAAGTGTAATTCCAAGAAGACACTTGGAGGTCTGCCATTTCAAACTGGAAAAGTCTGATGGTTTCTTTCACTATAGTAGTAGTATTTCTTTTGATGTCATCATTGTATAGTCTGGTTTTGTGGTTTGTTTTTTTTTTTAAGGCTTCTTGGTAAAGCTTAAAAGGGAAATTTTGCGATATAAATACATACGGCACAGATGTCTTGTTTATTACAGAGATTTTCTTTCACAAAAACTGCCTTGTAAACTGAATTTCATCAGTGAATTTGCTAGAATACAGTGTGATTTTGTTTGGTAGCACAACTAAGCAAATAAAGGAAATACAGGAGGCACAGAAATCAGCAAACATGCTGCAGAATGCGTAGACTGGATGGAAATCGTGGAGTGTTGCTATTGCAATCATAGGCCAATGCCTTCTGTCACGGAGCACTTGTTACAGTAATATGCAGCAAAACTAGAAACATGTTGAAAAATTGAGTAGAAAATAAGCCCCTTGAATACTTCCTGGAAGCTCTTTTTGTGAGGTTCTCAGTATTCAGAAAGCAGTTTGCTTGTGGAAGCTGTGTCAGAAAGGCAGCAGTAGTTCTGCTCAGTGTACTCTCTCCTTTTCCCGAGAGATGGGATGTTTAAGGGCAGGAAAGATTCTTTCCATTTCAGTTTTGCTAAGAAAACTGTGTCACAGTGTGACTGGGGGGCATGGTGTAGCGTAGCTAGGGCAGTCAGTTATATTAGCCTAGGTGCGTCTGTTGGCATAGCTTATTATCTTGAAATGAGCTCTAGTAACAGCAAGACTCTTGTGGTTGTCTGTAAGAGGAGGTGCTTGTGGTATGTCTTAGTCCTGGCCTGACAGTCATAAAGCTCTGAAGTTGGTAGTGGAGGCATGAGGTCTTCTAGGACCATCAGTTCTCTGAGCTGTGTGTTTTTAGGAGGTTTTTGGGTGTCCCTCTCTATAGAGTTCCCTTCTGTTATTTTGGAGTAGAATAAAGACCTGTTAACAGACTGTACTGCCAATCTGCCTTAACGCAAATCGCAGTCCTTCAGATTGTGAAGGAGTCTCAGCAGCAGCATGGTTTACGACATGGAGACTTCCAGAGGTACAGGTTAGTAAACGGTGTGAGTGTCTTGGAGTTACTGGTGTGACTTGGCTTACTTTATTTCAAACGTAAACCCACTGTAGCAGGCAACAAAAATGATCTGCCAGGTGAATGCCCCTTGACAGGTTGCTTCATGTGAAGCAATGTATGCTTTTTTTTTTTTTTTTTTAGTAGACTTAATGTGCTGTGACTGTTCCATTTAGGAGGATCAGACTGGCTCTTGTTTCTCTGTTACCCTTTGAGAGCTTGTTTGTTAACACCTCACTGATAATCACTATATTCTTCTAGAACTGAGTTTTCAATAAATACATATAAAGCAATCAGACAGTAAGGAGGACATCATTCTGATTTTTCAAGATCAGGAATTATTACATGCCTTCTTACCTTTCTTGTATTCTATTAACTGCTGGTTTACAGGTAGTTTCTGAACTACCTCTTGCCATATGCCATATATAGAGTTCTTAATTGTTAAAACATTGCTTGTGACATCCCTTAGTCCTTTTTTTCTGGTTGGAGAGAGCAATAAACAGAAACAAAGTTGTTCTTTGGCCAGACTGACTGTGGTTGTCTCTTCTTTAGGGGTTATTGCTCCCGTAGACTAAGGCGGCTCCGAAAAACTCTCAACTTCAAGATGGGGAACAGGCACAAGTTCACTGGGAAGAAAGTAACTGAAGAGATACTCTCAGACAACAGGTACGGTCGCTGGATGGAATCGAGCATTCAGCATATTAGTGAATAGTTTCTTTCACTTCAGTAATTTGTTTTCATGTGGATGTGGTGGAAAACTGTTGTGTACAATACACTAAGAAATGTTTCTTTTTGGAGATGTGTATTGTTGATACTAATAAAAGAAAGTTCGGGCTGCAGTGCAGGGGGAAGAGGCACTGCTCTGATCCTGCTTCATCGTGTGAACAAGTGGGAGAAGAGGGAGCAGCAGCAGCCAGTTCCTTCTCTTCCCTCATAGTTGTTAAAATGTGTTCTTTTCATAATCGGTAAATTACTTTGATACTAAAGAGGAAATGTTTATTCAGATCTGTTGCAAGGTAGCAATGTGAATGCTGATAATGTAAATGGTGTAGCCAGCAAGGTTGTGGCTGGAGACATAATCCCTTCCCTTTGAACAGAAATACTGGATTGTAGGTTTTACTTGGATTTTCAAAATCTGGCAGAATGCTTATCTTATAGAATACATGGAGAATAGCCAGGATCTTGAGCTCATTTGCCAGCTTTTAGAAACACTTGAAATGTCTGCTGCCTCTTCTTTTCTTGTGGGGAAGAGAAAACATGATGTTGTCTTCGTCTGTATTGTTAAGAAGCCAGATGCATTATATAGCATTAGGTGGTGGGAAAACAGACAAGTTTACCTGTATTCAACCAGTTTAAGAGCGACCTAAAATCATAAATCCCTTTGTCTTCATAATGTCTGTGGTGCTACAGAATGGTACCAAATTCTCTTCCTCAGCTGGGTGATTACACTTCTGTAGTGAGAAATACAGTAGAAAACTTTGAGTGCTTATAATGTTAAGAAATAAAGGTATCTACCTCTTATTAACCATGCTGAACTTTTGTTAACAGACTTTGCAGATTGCATGGCAAAGAACTAGTGGTGATGTGGTAATGCTTGTTTGAACGTCATCGTTTTTTTCATTAATCTTTGTCTGCCCGACAGGTATTTGCTGTTGATTCTGATGGATGCAGAGAGAGCCTGGAGTTACGCCATGCAGCTGAAACAGGAGGCAAACACAGAGCCTCGCAAACGATTTCACTTGCTGTCTCGCCTGCGCAAAGCTGTGAAACATGCTGAGGAGCTGGAGCGGCTGTGTGAAAGTAACAGAGTGGATGCCAAAACAAAGCTGGAAGCTCAGGTAACCACTGGCACTTTGATCTTGTTTTACAGCAAAAGCTGAACAAGAAACCTTTGGATTTTGGGTGAAGAGATTATTCTCATCTAGCAATAGGTAATCAAAAATGACCGATTCTCGAAGTGGGTAACACCTCCCTTTGAGTAGCTTGGACTTAATGCAGCTGCTGGAATTGCAGTGGCACCAGCCACTGGACATTATGTTTAGAAGTTGATTAAATGTATCAAATGATTGTCCTTGCTTTGAAGAGCAATACGTTTAATAAAAGTAAAAAGAATTGAGAGAGGCTAAGATGATGCAACACAGCCTAAGAAACTATGTTTAGCTGTTTGTTAAATGCCCTAAAGTAGCCATCTAAACCACACTTGTGGCTTCTGTTCCTGGAACACCAGCCTCTTTGAACAAGGGGCTACAGTGGTACTCAGTTAATTAAAACTGCCATTTTGTAGCTTATTGCTGGGGGGAAAAAAAAGTTTTGTAACATCAGTGGACCATGTTGATTGCATAAGTGAAAACATATTTGCTTTCATCTCCTTGGAAATGCAGCAATGCCAGTTAAAATAAAAAAGGTAGGTAGCTAGTAAGCCATAATCCAAATCATATGTCTTCTGTGGGAAGAAATGAAAAGGGCAAGGCTTAATCACTTAGTGTAAGCCTTGCAGCAGCCTTCATACTCAAGGTTGTACAAACTAGGCTGTTGGTCTTGGGGAAATTAACTTGCCCTTGCACTGTCTGCAGGCATACATGGCTTACCTCACAGGAATGCTTTGTTTTGAACACCAGGAGTGGAAGGCAGCAATGGAGGCTTTCAACAAATGCAAGTGAGTTCCCCACTTCACCAGCTTCAGTTAGTAAATAGTATTGGATTGGTCTAGTAAGTTTATATACTGTAAGTACAGCAACTCTGTGAGTTGTTTAGTTAATCGTGCACTTAACTGGGAGGTACTACTGAAGAAATAGCATCCTGCAGAGCAGAGACACAAAAACTCTTCCCTTAAGATAGTATCTCGCAAAAAGACACATACTGCAGTGTTAATATTTATTCTTTGCTGTAGGACCATATATGAAAAACTGGCCAATGCTTTCACAGAAGAACAAGCTGTACTATATAACCAGCGTGTGGAAGAGATCTCACCCAACATTCGCTACTGTGCCTATAATATTGGTAAGGAAAGTGGGGGTTCCTTGTTCACAGGAAAGGAATATTGACTTGATAGTTAAATACTGGTCTTAAGTGAGGTTGCAGTGAGTCCATAGGATTTTAGGCAAATTCTCCATGCATTCTGGATCAGTTTAGCAGTGGAGAAATATGTTTATTTTGCAACAGTGCATCTGGTTTTGTGTAAAAAGACAAAATACCAGTTTGGAGTAGTTAGGTTATGAAGTCAGAATGAAATTGCTAATTTATCCCCATTGTCCCCAAATTGGCCAGTATAAAATCTATTGATTAGCTTTTCTGTAGTACAATAATTTGTGAACTCAGATGGAAATGTGATCTTGATTTCTTAATTCTCTCAGGTGACCAGTCTGCTATGAATGAGTTGATGCAGATGAGACTGAGGTCTGGTGGCACTGAAGGTCTTCTTGCAGAAAAACTGGAGGTAACTTATTTGCATGCGTCAAGTTGAAACATTCATTATCACTCTGTTGAGCATAAATATTGCTGCAGCACACCATGCAAGAGCCAAAACGTGTCAGAAGAGAGCAAGCAAGCCTGGGCTCTACGAGAAACCACACTTTCCTAAAAAGCCCTTTGATTTCAAAATAGCCAAGTCCAGTGTGCGTTTGAAAGGTTCTATTTTGGGTGCCTTAAAGTTCAAGCTCATAAGTTCAGTCCATTCTCTACAGGCACTGATTACCCAAACACGAGCAAAGCAGGCAGCCACAATGAGCGAAGTGGAGTGGAGGGGAAGAACTGTTCCCGTGAAGATAGACAAAGTGAGGATCTTCTTGCTGGGGCTGGCCGACAATGAAGCAGCGATTGTTCAGGTAACCCAGAAGCCATCTCTGGTCCCAGTGTTCTAACTGTCCTCTTCTTTTCAATGTGCAAGATAAGACATGATACCTGGCCTAAAAGCTTTTGAATAATCTTTTTCTCAGACTTGGGATTGGAAGGCTAACAGTAAAAGTGAGAACATGGACTGTAATCCAAAGCTGAAGTGTCAGTTGGGGATAGCTCCCACAGTCTACTAAGTGGTAGTCTGGGAGATCTGTTCTGAGTATTACTGCTCTTCTGAACGCTCTGTGCTGCACAGAAGTGCTACCTTTCAGTGGTAGGGTGATAACCATTATTATTTGTTAAGTCACTGGGAAGTGAAGGTTACAATTTTGAGAGTAACTGGTTTTGAATTACTGTTCTCATTTCTTTAAGTATCTTGCTCAAATGCTCCAACTTCAGAGCAACCAAAAGAAAGAAGATATGTATTGATCACCTTTTTTCAGCAGCAAAAAGTAATTTGCCAGGTGAAGCAGGTGCTGTGAGAGTTAGAGCATTCTCTTCTTGATTTATGCAAATCCTCAAAAGCAGGAAGAGGATTACAATATGTCAGGACATAAATTAATTTCAAACGTAACAGTTCTAAAACGCTTGCAGTGGCTCACACTGTGCGTGTCTTTAGCATTGCAGCCAAATTTTCCACACGGAGCTTTTTCCTTGGAAATGGTGCCCCAGTGGTGTATTCTGCTTCCCAGTGGCGTGTACAGCACCCTTGCTGTTTGAAAAGGCGGTGAAAGGATCTTCAGTAACGAATATTGCTGCTATAGATGGGCTTTTTGCAGCAGCAAAAAAAAATTTGTAACCCAGAGAATAATGACGATGAATAGAAATTTAAATGATGAAATGAAAACCCTACAAAGGTGTAAGGTGAGCGGGAGATAGTGTTAAGAAGATAGTGTGAGTAGGATAAACAGGATATGGCTGGGTAGGAAACATTGGTGTTAACCAGTCTTGCCATAATGTTATGAGTTGTATGACTGAATTTTTTTGTAGGTAGTAGTACATTAATATGGCCAGCAGGTGGAAGTGCAGCTTAGAGTTCCATGTTCCCCCATTTAATTTCTGTCCTGCCAGGCTAATGGTTGGACCTTTTCAGTTTAGTTACCCTCTTTGTTCCATAAAGCTGTAGCAGAACAGTGATCTGAATTTGTTTTTGTCTTGCCTTGTGTTCCTTGGAAGCTCTGACTAGACGGAGGAGTTTTGTGGTACTGGATCACAACTAGCAATGGTGAGAGCTGAGCGCGCAGCAGCAATATTTACATTCCCAGAGGGCTGGAACTTGGCCTTTTAAAAGCAGTTCTGCAGTTGCTGTGTCAGCTGTGATGGGCAGTCCAGCTTCAGCTCCGTGTATTGTGGTGGTTCCTGGGATCTTTGACACCATTCTGCTAGCCTTTACTAGGTTGAAACCCTAACATAACAGCAGTACTCTTTGGGGTTTGATTAGAAGCAAACACAAATGTGTGTTTTGTGAAAAAATGGAGATTCTCAGCACAATTATATCATTGCCTTCAGTGTCTTGTTGCTAATGGGAGACAGAACAAATAAGCCAAACTGAAATACAAATCCAAGTTTAAAATTATTTACATCAGCCCTATTGTAGACTTGAATGCATGACTTCAAGGGCCCATTGAGTCTAACCAGGTAGAAATGAGAAGGCTAAGGGGCAGAGCGATGGAAGTGTGCTCCTATCTGGAATTGCCTCAAGGATTCCGTGGTCGTCTCTGGTAACTAGGAATGTAGGAAAAAAGGGTGGTAATAACTTTCAGAGATGATACACAATGTTTTGGAACAAATCAAAAATTAGAAACGAGCATTGCTAGACTTTCAGAAGTGGGTTCAGTGGGGTCAGTTCCCTGGATCCCTTTAAGACTGAACCAGTGCTGTTCTATCAGGGCATTTGAATCACCAGTCATAGCACTTGTATCTCAGTTTTATGATCTGATATCTCCCAGATCAGAACATACGTGTATTTAAACACAGAATCAGTGTAACCTTAGGAGTTTGTGCTTAGAAACGAAAGCCTTTGTTTCGTTGCACAGCCCAGCCCTTCCCCTGTTTGTACTTGACTGATGATGAAGCTATGTCTGTTTTCATTTTTGTGCATGCAGTGAAATTGCTGTGCTCCTCTGGGTGAGGTTGAGAATGCTGTCAGACTCGTCTCTGGTTATTCTCAGTAGTTAGTCCCACCTTAAAAATTCTTGCAGCAAATCTCAAAAAAAAAAAACAACCAAAACACCCAACCTCAAAAAATGCCTTCATCTCAGGTCAAGATACCTGAGGTTTTGTGAGGGAGTAAGAATAACATTCCTTAATGGGTTTGCAAACCTGAAGAGAGGAGAGGCAGAGGCTCTAGAGCTCTACTGAAGATAAACAAACAAGCTCGTTTTTAGACAGTTTTTTATTCATTTTGACAATTGCAAATTTATTGCAGCAGTGTTCGTCTTGTGCTATTACATGGCATGGAAGTGGTATAACACAGTGCTGATACACTTTAATCCCTCCTTCGATTGCTAAGGTTAAGGTTTGTTTCTGTGCAGTTTTCTCTTAACGGATCAGTAAGCGTCTTGCAATCCCCATCTGGTTACCTTCTCAATCACTTGAATGGAAGTTGAGTTTGGTTTTGGGTGTATTGTTTAACTGCGTACATGATATGTCAGTCCGTTAGGCAGAGATCACACTTCAACTTCTTTCTCAAAAGTTGTTTTCAAATTTTGATTTTGGGGCAGAAGGCCAAAAGCTGCTTCAGTTTTTTGACAAAACTTATGGTGGCAGCAGAAAAGCACTCGGTCACTCCTGCTGCTAAAATATGGGGTTACTTTAAAAAGTGCTTCAAACAAGCAAATTATTGCCACTGTGAGCATTACTAGAGTGGGAGTGTAGAAAAGATAATCATCTACATGTTCTTACCACATGAGGAAACTCAAATCAGCATAACAAGAGCAGTCTACGCTGGTAGTTTGCCAGTTCAGTAATGCTCAGCTCTTCTGTTGCTGGGCCTTTCCCACAGTGCAGCCCAACCTCAGCTGTTCTTGGAGCAATGCAAATGCCATCTTGGAAGGGAAGGGAGTTGCTGGGATGTTAGCTGTTGCAGGGATGAAACAATCAGAGCTGTGTGTGCCAGGCCTTCAGTGCTGCTAAGTTCTCAGCACTGACCATGTTCCCGGCAATTTCTGGGAGTTTGCCCCCTAGAACAAATCGCAGACAGGTACAGACTAGAGTTCTAGCTACCTCCCCATGGATCTTAGAGCCATAATTTAGGAGAAACTTTGTTTAATCTCCTCAGTTCATTCTTGCATCATGGGATGCAAAATACAAAAATTTCTACTAGATATGTCTTAACTTTCCTTTGCTCTTAGGCAGAAAATGAGGAGACAAAGGAACGCTTGTTTGAATCTTTACTCAGTGAGTGTAGAGATGCCATTCAGGCCGTTCGGGAAGATTTGAAACCGGACCAGGTAAGGAGCAAACATCAGTGTTTCTACTTCCAACACCATGGTGTTCCTTTGGGACTGATTTGTTATTGTTAAACTTGCTTATTAATAGAAGTGGCTGGGATTTCTTTAATAAAAAGATGCAAAAGAGTCTATCACCTTTGAATTTATTCTCTTCAGAACTGGAGAGGGTGAATAGCAATGTAGAAGCCCTCATTCTTTTGCTGGAATTCTGTTATAACTTCCCTGGTTTACCCAAACCTTAAGTTGTTTCTGATGTTTTCTTCCCTCAGCTGCCAGTTTTAAGTAAATCATGCAGTGTTTTGTCCCCAATTTCTGCAGAAGCAGCGAGAACACTCTCTAGAAAACGATTCTGGGAAGGTGTCCAACATCCAGTACTTACACAGGTAATAGGCAAACATTGCTGCCTGTACTAGCATAAAGAAGTCATGCTCTTATGTCAAGATTTTATATTTGTTTGGTTTTGTTTTGTGTGGTTTTTGTTCTGGGCCTCTCAGATCTCAAAGGATGACTGTATGGATAAGGATCTGATTCATGCAGCTTTGAAAACATTTTACTTAAGGCTCTCACGTTGACCTTTGAAACATTTTTTCCCCTACTAGTATCAGCTTAGATTGGGAGGAGGAGTCTTTTTCAGAACAAAGATTAATGTCTGAGTAGTTCTGACAGTCTGCTAGTAGTATTTTATCTTTTATCTTTTTAGTTATTTGACTTACATCAAGCTGTCAACAGCCATCAAGCGCAACGAAAGCATGGCAAAGTCTCTGCAGAAGGCACTGCTGCAGCAGCAGCGATCAGAAGAGGATGGCAAGCGCACACCCCGGCCTCAGGACCTAATCCGTCTTTACGATATTATTTTGCAGGTAATGCTGGGAAAACAAATGTAATTCTTCATACTAACTGGAGAATTTTGGTACAAAAAGCTATTGCAGACAATATAGCAGTGCAAGTGAACTGCCCGTGAAGTCTGAAGAGCAGCTCAGTACCTACAATAACCTTGTTGAAGATGTTCAACATCTACATGAAGCACAAATAAATCCTTTTAGTGGTGATCAGAAGATGCTGCTAGAATGGATGTCCTTGGTTTTACACTCTAATGCAGTTTTAAAATAGTTTTTTCTATTTTATGCAGCACACTGATAGCTGCCTTAGTTTCTACTGACCAGAAAAAGTAGCAGCTAAAAATACTTAAAATGTCCTCCTTCTTCATAAGCAGTTTCTCAGCTTCTCACATAAATTTTCAGTTAACTGTGGGAGTCTGTGGCTGAAGCAATTGTGAATGGGAAAGGGAAATGCCTCATGAAAGAATGACTTCATGTGAAATCTGAGGAGTCTTTGTCCTAATTTCTGTTTGTGTCAGGAAATCTGTCCTGAGGGCAAACTTGCACAAGTTTCAGTGAATGTCCTTCACAAGGTTAGCGTGCTGATGATTAGAAAAACTGGAAACTCTTTCCATGGGAGTGTACTGTTGACTTGTTAAAAGGGGCAGCATTCTCTTACTCCAGCAGATTCCAGAGGAAAACAACACCTGCATTTGTTACTCTGACTCTTTTTTGCACAGAACCTTGTGGAACTGACACAGCTTCCTGGCCTAGAAGAAGACAAGAACTTCCAAAAAGAGATTGGATTGAAGACGCTTGTGTACAAAGCTTACAGGTGACTGAGAAACAGCCAGGTTTCCTTTAGCAGGCGTTACATCTTCAAAGGTTGTTATTCCAAAGCTCTATGCACTGTACAGGGCTTTGATACAGTTTCCTCTGCCATTGTGTGAAACGAAGACTGGATGCTAAGGGGAAACTGGCCAGTGCTTCTTAATAATCTCTTATCAGTCATTTGAGTTGGCAAAGGTATGGATGACAAACGTGTCAGTGAGCTGCTCTTTACTGTTGCAGGTGTTTCTTCATTGCACAGTCCTATGTCCTGGTAAAGAAATGGAGTGAAGCTCTTGTTTTATATGAAAGGGTGCTGAAATATGCTCGTGAAGTTCAGTCAGGAGCTGGAGCTTACACAAACAGCTTGAAGGTAGGAACCCAGTCCTGCATGTAGAAGGGAGCTGAAATTTATGAAAAAGCTCTGTCCCCGTATTTATTGTCAATTAGATGCCAGACCATTACAATTCAAGACTGATGTTTAAGTTGGGAGAAGAGGAATACAGGTGTGACTGCTTGACACATTACAGTAGAGACTTTCTGATGATGTGAAAACGCTGCAACTGGCCACTTGCTTGCCAGCTGTAACTTGCTGTAACAGCTCCGTAACAATTTACCACGCTTTCTCACATCTGCACTTTCTGTCATACTGCCTCTGTAGTGCCTGAAGGACTGTACTGCAGCTTTTCCTCTTCTGGGAAGGCTTACCAGCACTAGGACTTAATTTCTTAGTTCCTACTGTGTCAGGTTTCTCCTTTGCCCTAACTCTTAAACTCTGGCACATTTTGGGCTCTCAAATAAATTTCTTTAATGACCTAGGAGCTGCCTGACGTTCAGGATCTGATCACTCAAGTCAATGCAGAGAAATACTCCTTGCAAGCAGCAGCCATATTAGGTGAGTTGCACGATTATACTAGAGCTCTAACATCTTTTGAATAATGCCCCTGAAGCTATTTCATTACTTCTGCTTCATTTCTGAAGATTCAAATGTTTTTCTACTTCACTCTGATCTGTGTAGGCTCTGGAAAACATTTTTTCCCCCCCAGTTCTAAGCTTTTTCTAGCTGTGTGTAGTGCAGCTAAGCTAAGCAACCAATGACTAGACATTTGGCATCTTGCTCCCTGCCCAGAGATGCAAAAACATTTCAAGAGGATGTTTGGCAGAATACTCTGATAGTGGGTATTTTTTTTGCTGCAAACAAGTTGGCCTTGCTCATCCTGGTTCTGCCTAGTTGGGAAAACTAACTACTGAGGAAGGGGAGAGCAGTGATGTTCTGCTCTTTGTCAGTGTCGACCAGGTTAGGGGAACTTTGGGGGAATGGATGAACTTTGTAATTTCTTGGGCTGCTGTTTTTGCTGTGGCCTGCTGCTGGAAACCCAAGATAAGTAATGGATTGCCTTGTCTTTTATTGCCTTACTGTTGCTTTAACAGACCCCGCTGGGGTCTTCTCATCATCTGCTTCTTTGTGCTGAACTTGGAATCTGTGCTTCTCTCAGGAGCTTCTCATGACAATGCAAAGGAGAAGCTCTCCATCACTGGAGAGCTGTGTTGGCTTTAGATGTGTATGTGTGATCCTCAGTCTAGAAAGCAAGTTGATTCTACTGAAAATATTCTCTTGCATATCCCAGAAAGCAAGTTTAATAGCTAAGCTTAGAGGACAGCTGACTCCTGAGATGGTCTCAATTTATGCCAAGATCTAGCCTGTTATTCTTACCACTTTTTCTTCAATTTTGCAGATGCAAATGACACTCATGAGGCTGAGTCTCCATCTCAGGTCAAGGATGGCAAGGTAAGACCTGAGAGCTCAGGCAAATTCCAGTAGTGTTCTTGGTACTACTAAGTAGTACTACTTTGAGCTGAGTGTCTCTTACAACTCAAGAAATGTCATGCTGATTGGAGTTTGGTCACAACTAGTTTATTTGAGAGATTTTATTAGGCTTGCTTTCCTTCTGCAAGTCCTAAAGGTGGCTGAAAGGATGGGGTTCCTTGGGTAGAAACTAGGCTGCTCTGCTTGCAGCTTCTAGTGTGGCATCTTCTTTTTTTTTTTTTTTTTTTTTTTTTTTTTAAATTTAGTTTTCTTCCTGCACATGGGAAGGTTTTCTGGAGATCCTGCAGCAATACTTTGACAGGGGTTTGAATAATTTTCAGGGGCCCAAGATGTCACAGCGGGGAACTTCAGCTTCTGTTGTCTCAGTTGCTGCTTAATCCTCTTTGCTTGTTTGACTCTTGTCAGCTTTGATTTGCCACATGTTTAATCTGTGTTTCTGCATTGGTCTCTTTCAGCCCCTCTCGGAACGGTTTGAGACTTTCTGTCTGGATCCTTCTCTTGTCAGCAAGCAAGTCAGCCTCGTGCACTTCCCTCCGGGCTTCCAGCCCATTCCGTGCAAACCCTTGTTCTTTGACCTGGCCCTTAATCATGTTGCTTTCCCACCTCTGGAGGACAAGGTGGAGCAGAAGGCCAAGAGTGGCCTCACAGGATATATAAAGGGCATATTTGGATTCAAAAGTTAACCAGGACCCCCTGGGGAACAGAGGTTTTATTCTGTATTGAAGGAAAAGCTCCAAGAGGTTCTAGGACACAAATATCTGCACCTGAAACCAACAGAGGGAGATTTTACCATCTTCCCTGTGTTCTGTGTATATGTCTGTGCACTTACATTCTCTCCCAGTCTGTTAAAGGCAAACAATCTATTCGGAAACATACATATACTATAAATAGCTGAAAATAATCTGGAGCAGAGAGAAATTCCATTCTGCTCAGAGAAGTTGGAGCTTGTTTTGTGACCAGGGGCCTGTTCGGGGCTGGGACACATCTGCTTACCATGGACCAGGGCATAGGCATTACTTGATTCCTCCCACCACCCCATTATTTGACACTATAGTTTGGTATTTTGGTCTAGAAATCTGGGTGTGATGGGGAAACAGGGGCAAAAGTAGGTGCAGAACTAAACCAGCAGGGTGAGGCTGCCTGCATGGAGGCTATGAAACAGTACCAAGGAGGTTAACTTTTCTTCCCTTTCGACTCCCAGTCCTCGCCGAGAGGCATATATAGTTACATAAAGAGAAGTGTCTGTTCTTTAAATATGTAACATTCAGAAATGACAAAATGGAGCCTCTTTCCTTATCGATAAGGATGGCAAATACCTTGCCAAATGTTAATGGTTACCCCAGTTGTGGTGGAGTATAACCTGAATTTGTACTCTGGGCCGATAGGATCCTCCTTTATTACACACATTTTGTTAAATACCTAAATACAGTATAGAACCTATTCCTACAAGGCTTTTCCTGGGAAACTAGCTTCGTGGGTGGCTTTAGAAATAGCTGCTTGCTCTTCATGGGAAGTTGGGTCTCTCAATGTTCGTTTTGTCTGAACTTCAGCTTCTGTTGTCTCAGTTGCTGCTTAATCCTCTTTGCTTGTTCTCTTGTCAGCTTTGATTTGCCACATGTTTAATCTGTGTTTCTGCATTGGTCTCTTTCAGCCCCTCTCGGAACGGTTTGAGACTTTCTGTCTGGATCCTTCTCTTGTCAGCAAGCAAGTCAGCCTCGTGCACTTCCCTCCGGGCTTCCAGCCCATTCCGTGCAAACCCTTGTTCTTTGACCTGGCCCTTAATCATGTTGCTTTCCCACCTCTGGAGGACAAGGTGGAGCAGAAGGCCAAGAGTGGCCTCACAGGATATATAAAGGGCATATTTGGATTCAAAAGTTAACCAGGACCCCCTGGGGAACAGAGGTTTTATTCTGTATTGAAGGAAAAGCTCCAAGAGGTTCTAGGACACAAATATCTGCACCTGAAACCAACAGAGGGAGATTTTACCATCTTCCCTGTGTTCTGTGTATATGTCTGTGCACTTACATTCTCTCCCAGTCTGTTAAAGGCAAACAATCTATTCGGAAACATACATATACTATAAATAGCTGAAAATAATCTGGAGCAGAGAGAAATTCCATTCTGCTCAGAGAAGTTGGAGCTTGTTTTGTGACCAGGGGCCTGTTCGGGGCTGGTACACATCTGCTTACCATGGACCAGGGCATAGGCATTACTTGATTCCTCCCACCACCCCATTATTTGACACTATAGCTTGGTATTTTGGTCTAGAAATCTGGGTGTGATGGGGAAACAGGGGCAAAAGTAGGTGCAGAACTAAACCAGCAGGGTGAGGCTGCCTGCATGGAGGCTATGAAACAGTACCAAGGGGGTTAACTTTTCTTCCCTTTCGACTCCCAGTCCTCGCCGAGAGGCATATATAGTTACATAAAGAGAAGTGTCTGTTCTTTAAATATGTAACATTCAGAAATGACAAAATGGAGCCTCTTTCCTTATCGATAAGGATGGCAAATACCTTGCCAAATGTTAATGGTTACCCCAGTTGTGGTGGAGTATAACCTGAATTTGTACTCTGGGCCGATAGGATCCTTCTTTATTACACACATTTTGTTAAATACCTAAATACAGTATAGAACCTATTCCTACAAGGCTTTTCCTGGGAAACTAGCTTCGTGGGTGGCTTTAGAAATAGCTGCTTGCTCTTCATGGGAAGTTGGGTCTCTCAATGTTCGTTTTGTCTCTGATCTAAAGCTTGCCTGAACACAAGATGATCTTTTTCTGGATTCATCTGTTGCTTTTTCCCTCGTCCTGGGTTGGTAGATGCACCTGAAATGAGGAATAAGCAACAGGCGACCAGCAGGTTCTGGAGTGATGGATCTTCTCTGTCATGCCGGACAGCTTTTTTTTTTTTTTTTTTTTTATGAAGCGCCCAGGTGCTATGGTGATAGGCACTTTCAAAATGCGGGTAATTTCATAATCGTGACCACGTAAACGGGAAAAAAAACCCCACAGCACATGGGCAGAACTGTTCCTAAATAAAGTATTTGGAAGTTTCCACCAGCAGTGTCTGGGTTTTCACTCAGTTTGTAACTGGAAGCTGAAACATTGGTTTGTTCTCCCTGCCTTAACGCTTCTGCACCAGTTGGCTTGCCCTTTGCATTGTTTCTCCATTTTTAGGCATCGGAGTTAATGGGTGGAAACAGAAGAACTGTTAAAAAAAATATTGGATTGTTGTCGTGGGAATTTTCCAAGCAAGGTGCATGTCAGATGAATGGGGGGAATTAATGATTCCCATTGTTTTAATATGAATGTTTGCTTCTTTGTTCCAAGTCGATCTGATTTGTGAGTTCTCAAAGTACAAAGCAGCTTTCAAGAGGACTCTGTGCTCAGAAAGAGGTAAGAGAAGGAGGAGGAACTTGGTGTTTGTGTTTAATTTTTGCAACGTGGAAACGGGGATTTCTGGTACTCTAGTTAATTCCATTTGCCTCTGGACACCAGGGGGATTTTTACAAGAGAAGGGGAAAGTGTAGAGCTGAAAGAAATGTGGAAGACTATTTATTCATCAGATGACAATTTCTAGAGAACGTGGTCTCGAATGGCAGATTTCTCTTCCCCGTAAAGCGTGATCCTTTTAGGCGAAGAGAGGTCATGCAAGAACCGGCGCAGGCATCAGCTGGTTGTTCGGCTTCACGGCGCCTCTTTCTGTGTACGTTAACCTGAGCTTCTCTCTCCTTTTCAGCTTTTATATCGAATCACTTTGAGAACTGTTCTCCTCTTTCGGTTTGCAAACCAAACTCTTTTCTGCTTTCCTACCACAAATCTGTGTGGTGCCTGGATTGATTCCAGTGAAACTTGTACTGTGGCCACTTCCTAATTGGTGACTGTTACAGAAAGCTACGAGCAATTGGCCTGTCTATGTCAAACGTCTTTTGACAGATAACTAATTAGTTGAACGCAGATAAGAAATCCGGACACAATAAAGTTTTATTCCTGACCTCTGAGGCGTGTAGTTTATGTTGAGCGTTGAGAACACCGAGCACTCTTTGCCTCCGAACCATTCAGAGGATCAAGGTCACGCCATCGCCTGGGGCTACTTAACCCCTGTGGAATGGCCACTTGGCTCTGGGGGAGCCCCCTTCTGCCTGAAGGCTCAGGTGACAGCGTGCACCGCTCTTGGAGCTAACTTGGCTCGTTTGTTTTGATGTAATGTTAATGGGAAGTGGGTAGAGTGGGGTTTGTAAGCGGTGTTGTGACTTAAATAATGTGGAAAGCACTGATGAGGCGCTAGGAAAAAAAATCTAAAAATGTAAAAAATGGTGTGTGTGTGTGGGAAAGTACGGTTATTTGAGCGACCTCTATGATGAAAACCAGACTCGTAAAGTTTGTTGAGGCTTTTAGCTCTGCCATGGAGCTTGGAATGGCGAAGGTGAGGCTTAGATGCAGCAGTTAGAAGGGAACAGCGCAGGCGAGTGAAGCATCTGATGCAACGCACGCAACAAACAGATTCCCCGGGAACTGCTGGGTGTGAGTTGTGCCCTCAACAGCTGGAGCGAGGTGTAGAGCACTGGTTTATGGCGCTTGGAAGCCTGCTTCCTTACTGCTCTGTTCTTTGTTAGGCTTCAGTGTTCGCTTTAAAGTGTCTGCTCTCTTTCCATGAATTAATTGGCAAAGTAGGCCATATGATTGCACTCAAACAGGAAGCTCCAGCAGAATGGTCAAGAGCATTGCTTTCAGTCAACTTTTCCTATGGAGAACCTTTGGGCTTAGCACTGGAATTTTGATTACAGACTGAGCAAGCTGTGCCTGGTACCATTGCATCAATTAAAATAGGAATGAGATGTACCTCGTGGCCCTCGGCCCCGCCATCAGCAATACACCTGTGTCTTGGGCGATGTTTGCTTTTGGTCATGCACTCTGAGGGGTCTCATGACCACGGATAGGTCTTGAGGAACTGATGGGACGTAGGAGAAATGATCAGCGTGAGATAACTGGGCAATTTAAAGAGAGAAATGAGAGGTGGCAGGTTGGGACAGTAATAGTCTGGCCTGGGAGCTCCTAAATAACAGTGTCTGCCTCCTTTTAAGTGAGGAATTGGGGTGTTTTAAACTGAAGGTACTGGGGAAAATCCTCTAATCCAAGGTGCTTCAGACAGATAGCATCCCAGGTGAGCCCCAGCAGCGAGTGCTCTGGGGCCTTTGTGGCCGCCTTACCTTGAGCTGGCTGCTGGTTCGGCTGGCAGCCTGCACCGCGCACACCCGGCACCCGGGGCTGCAGTCGCGTAGGCCAACTGCGGTGGGAGTGGGTAGGGCGAGTTGTTGGGAGAAGAGGCACCTGCGGAGGGATGTTGGTGCTCCTGCACAGCTCTTCTCAGCTGCCCCGTTAGAGCTGCGGGCACAAATACCCCCTGGTGTTCAGCTCGGGATGTAAATTGGGAGCTTGCTCATGTAAAGGAGTGATGTCATCTTGATTGCACGTGGCTGCTCTTTTTCTTCAGGACGGGGATTGCTATTTTCAAGCGTAAGAACAGCGGGAGGTAGATTTGCCTGCCAAAGAAGAGCCCGTTCTGATCCGGGTGGGAGGAACGCGTGGTGCGTGCCCCCGGTCTGTAACAGGAAGCTCCAAGAGGAGGGATTGAATAGAACAGAAAGCAGGCAACCATCCTCAAAGCTGCTTGGCAGAGGTGGGCTCACGGCA